TTTTTGAATTAGGCTTTTTGAATCGGATTTTTCCACATATTCGCGTAGAGTGATTTTTTCCTTAACGGGATTGGATATTTTTTTTCGGTTTCGAGCGAGCGTTTTAGAATAATAGTGCCGAAGGTGTCAGTGGCTTTTAGATCGTGCTGCGTAATAGACTTTTTTGCCTTCTATTTTTTGAATTAGGCTTTTTGAATCGGATTTTTCCACATATTCGCGTAGAGTGATTTTTTCCTTAACGGGATTGGATATTTTTTTTCAGTTTCGAGCGTGCGTTTTCGAATAATAGTGCCGAAGGTGTCAGTGGCTATCAGATCGTGCTGCGTAATAGACTTTTATGGCTTCTATTTTTTGAATTAGGCTTTTTGAATCGGATTTTTCCACATATTCGCGGAGAGTGATTTTTTCCTTAACTGGATTGGATATTTTTTTTCAGTTTCGAGCGTGCGTTTTCGAATAATAGTGCCGAAGGTGTCAGGGGCTGTGGAATCGTGCTGCGTAATAGACTTTTTTGGCTTCTATTTTTTGAATTACGCTTTTTGAATCGGATTTTTCCACATATTCGCGGAGAGTGATTTTTTCCTTAACAGGATTGGATATTTTTTTTCGGTTTCGAGCGTGCGTTTTCGAATAATAGTGCCGAAGGTGTCAGGGGCTGTGGAATCGTGCTGCGTAATTTACTCTTTTGGCTTTTTTTTTGAAATTACTATTTGGGATTAGGTTTTTTCGGCATTACAGCGTTGATTACTCATTTGTCTGTTCTGTGTACCAATTTTTTTTTCGATTTCGTCCATTTGTTTACAAAATTAGAATTTCTATTGAATGTAGTTTGTTTGCTTTCACCTGCCATTCTTTTGTTCTGTTTCTTTTAATTGTTAATTCAGTTACTTATTTTGTTACAGATTTTTTACATTGTAAGGCCACTATATTCAATAAGATGTCAAGTATTTAAGTTTATGTAAGTATATCTGAGGCTGAGAACTGAAATAATATTCATGATAAGAAACGACTTAAAGGAAAGTGGTGTTTGTACCTCATTTATTTATTTTTCTTTATTATCATATCGTCAATTCTTATTTATATTCATAGGAATTACTATTTATATTAATTTTATTAATTCTTTGTGCAATTTGTATTTCAGAAAGCATTATGATGCCAATGGAGGTTATGCAAGTGGTTAAAATCCCATATTACATTTCCCTTTCTCTTTTATATTCAGGATTTTGTGCAGGTATTATTGAAAACCAAGTCTTCAGTTTTCTATGTTAATATGATGCTTGAAATCCTGTTTAGATTTTGTAATAAGTAGATTATATAAAAAAACTTTAGATTGTATAAAAGCCCTATAGAGTTTTGATAAGAAGATTGTGCAAATGCCCTCTAGATTTGTGATTGGTAGGTTCTATAAAATCCTTGATTTTTTATAAGATTACGAGTTTAAAAAACATTCTTGACCTCCATGTGTAGGAAATTATAAAATATCTTTAATCTTTATATAGCTAGGACTGACGAATCTTGTTTCAGGAAGTCTGGATTACTGAATGCTGGCAATCACATTTTATGTTCCTGTTTATTCATTTTGTTTGGACTTTCTTTGACGGTTGGGTTTACAATTATCTTTAAATACTGAATAGGCAGGGCAAATTAGATTTTCAATGAGGCTAGCTATTCTCAAATTAATTATAATTTATGGTTATATATTTTTATGTTAAGTTAGAATTATGATTAAGTTAGCTGTAGTGTACAATTCTAGTGGAGAAGTAAATAATGTTTATAAGTATATACAGGGATTTACACTGCAGTGCTTGCACATTAGTCTTTAAGTAAAATTTTTAGGAGTAAATAAGTAGAATGTATTTAATTTTTTGTATAAACATCACTTTTTTTCTTCTATTTTTCTAATTATTTATTGCTATATTCTTTATGCCAATGAAAATGTGCTATATTGATAAATTGTATAATAATAATGTCGCACATATTTTATCTCTTTCTTCTATATTTAATTTGTCTTTTATTTCTAAGTTTAATTTATCTCTTATTCTAGGTACAAATTAACTTTTCTTTGTGGGTTTAATTTTTCTTTTATTTTTAGGTTTAGGTTTTCGAGTCGATTATTTGTCCATTTTGTTTTTGATGTTTGATTTGCACAGCGATCAAAAATTGAACGTTTCGCAAACGTGCATCAAAAGAGAAATTGATTTGTTTATTAATTTTTTCATGAAAGGAAGGGAGGTTGGGACGTGGTTATGGACGATTACCGTACTAATATTTTACAACCGAAGTCGATATATATGCATTTACATTAACACCTACTATTACATTCACATCAGGAACATCGTATTATCAGAATCTAAAATGTTGTTATTGATTTGAGTTATTTCTCAATAACCACAATCAGTTTCATTTCTTCAAATCGAACAAATATACGTAAGTACATATTCCAGTGGTACATTTTCATATTTGAAATATGCGATCTTTGACTGTGATAATATATTCTAGGATATTGGAATTTGCTATGAAATATGCTCGTCAAGCGGTTCTGGCCCTTCTACAAAATATTTTATCCAACGAAAAGCAAGATATAGGAAGTTCTTTATGATCGCCTGACTTCTACAGTTCGACGAACGAAACTGTAGACTGCGTATAAAAATATCAATCTGCTTGAAATTTGTCCTTGACCGAGAAGCATTCCCTGCCTCTCTGCCCCCCTGCGCCCTCCAGCCGTTAATTGCTCGGAACAGTTTTGCTAACGAACAAAGCTGTGTAGCATTGTGTCGCTGGAAATCATGGTGTGTGGACGTATTGTTATGTATATTGCATGCCTGCTACGGAATACTTTGACGACTATTTTGATACTATTTGTACAACATTATTAGGTTTGTTCAACCACAGCACAATTTTCTTTTTCTAAATTAAATTAACGAATATGAATTTCGCCGTATGTTATTCTGATTTACTGCATATACTATTCGCAGACATGTGACTCGTCAACTCTGAAAGCTTTACGAAGTTCAATTTTTTGACTTATTGACGGCTTTGAAAATGAAGGGGACAGATAGGTTTTTCAACCAATGCATTGACAGGTAAACAATGCCAAGCATTGTGAATTTCATTCTACTATTGAAAGTCGCATCGTTAGGACGTATCACGTAATATCACGTAAGTATGCCTTTTTGTTGTATAGTACTTTTATTTTTATCTTTTTAGTTTTCATACACTAGCAATAGTTTCGTTTGATTAATAACGTATGTAATCTAGTTGTTACAAAATCAGATAATTTTTCAAATTATTGGACTTTTCTTAAAAAATATTAATGTATTTCGCTATGAGAATCATATTGGTCGCTTGAAACAAAATTTGACACGAATTATTGTCCCCTTTTAAGATGATTGATTATATTTTTGTACATTTGATTTTGATTTCTTCTGTGCAGAGTAATCGTTGATGGTGAGAATACGTTTGACAGCCTACAGGTTCATATGATATAGCTGCTATTATGACAAATGGCGACCGTAATTGCTGTTCATCGAAAATTGGTAATTATTGAACACAATTCTTTTATTCCAACAATATTCGTATCACAACATTTTTTTATCTAATGGTAGAAACAAATAAATATCATGGTTATTCGAGTAATAGAACTATAACTTCGAATAAATTAATTTGACTTTGCTGTACTTAATTAAAAAATTGAATTAACTTTTATGATTTGACGAATTTGATTTGATAATTAGACGTGGTGCAAATTAATCGTATAAATTATATCAATAATCTTAATTTTTAGTGCGTATTTTCATATATTCGTAATCATTCTGAATAATATTAATTAATTACAGCGAATAAATATTATATGTGAATAACAGTAGCTAATAAGAATAGTCGTACGAAGGAAAAAGATTTTCACGTTATATTCTCTATAGACACGTGATTTGTCAGCCATGAGAACCTCTACGAAATTCAAATCTTCGTGATATCGCGGGCTTTAGAAATGGCGGGAAGAGCCTAGGTCTCTTGACCAATCCGCTGATGGATAGAGGACGCCACGATGCATCGCGTGTAATCCAATTTCAAGTACGTATCTTATCGCGTGTATTATTGAGTGAAACTTTCATTTCTACTCCTTTGCTCTCTGTACGGTATCATTAGCTTCGTTCGATTAATACGTATTCATATAATACATTTCTGAACATCTTTCCAATAGGATTGTATAGTCTTTCAAATTTTTCCGCAATTTCATTTTTGAATTAAACTGATAGAATTATCGTTAGCATTTGAGACGAAACTTGAATACGATTATTTTGTTAGTGATACTTTTACATATTTGTACTAAATTATGATTTTCGTGTTTGCAGTATGTTGGTGATCGTAAAAATCATGTAGAAGATATCAGACGTTGACGAATGTGTTGGAGAATGAACTGCGGACGCCGTGCTCACCTTCAAATCTGCCAAGTTTTCGTGAAGATCTGATAATGTTGAATTTCTTATATTGAAGCTAGACATACTAAATGTACTTTAATAGCTAACTAGTTATGTACTAAATGTACTAAATGTACTTTAATTAATAACTAGTTATGTACGTCAATTTGTGAAAAAAATTATTATTTTTCTATCTATGAATATAACCAAATATGCATTGTATAATAACTCTATCGAGTTTTTAATTTTAATTACCATAATTTGTTCATGAATATTTTAACAATTGGTGTTTCAACGCCCAATCGTGAAAAATTAAAAAACTTGTATTTTAAGATAGGTTTAAAGTAAAAAGACCCAATAGATACCCTCCACAGTGTATTTGGTGACCTAGATTACAATGAAAATATTAGATATAACATCGATGTACGAGATACTTTTCAATACGTTACTTAAATATCTATATAAGATACACATATTGTATAAGTAGATGACATAATATTACTTCATAATATTCGACTCATTTACTAACAAACAACATTTAATATGTATTTTTACTTTGTTTTTTCATTTTTTTGTTCTTTTTCTTTTTATACACGTAGAATATCATAACGACATTGACAATATATATAATATATATCTGCTTTTTATCGTAGTGTTACAGAATATAATAACGCGTGCGTAATTCGAATGTCACGAAATCTGTTTACGAACTGAGTAAAGGATCTCCATAAAATTTCTTTTTAATTGATTTTGCTCGGTAGGTTCACGTACATACATATCGACCACGTTCTCTCGAAGATTGTCATTAATCGTTAGAGTTTCTTCTGTTTCTTCACCAGAGGTCTCCGTAATAAGCTCGGAACGAATGATTCTGCGATGAAATGCGTTAAACGCTCTCCGTCGTGTCGTATAATTCTAGACAAAACGAATATAGGGAAAGTGGATGAAAGTGAAGGAAAACGTCAGATAGTGCAGGATAGAATAGGAAAGTTTAAAAGCAGGAAGGACAGTGGTTATCGTTCATACCTCGCTTATTTAGGAACATGACAATCCACGAAGGAAATCGACCGTGGTTGACAGCATCGTGATCGTAAGTGTTTGGCTTTATCTCGAAATACAACATGTTCCTCAGTTTCTGTATACTCACAAGTTAAAAAGCATTGTTAAAATCCCAATTTGTTTTAAAATCGCGTGGAAACGTGCCAATTTACGCGATAAGTTAAAATTGAATTGTTTCGAATTCAAAGCTTGAATTTGCATATAAAATATAAAATTCTACAGAAACTATATAACTGTCTTGTATTTCGAGAATTCGAGGCATTTTGAGTCTTCTTTATTCGTTCCTCATCTTCACTGTCGATGGTAATGTGTTTTCATGCCGGCAACGGTAATCGACGTTGACGAAGTTCGACGAACGATCTAATTGTCTAACCCTTATCGATGTCTAGTGACTAATTTAGTACGCGTGATTCGCGACGAAAAGCGCGGCGTCGCCAGCAGCTCCCATCACACCACCAGCGTACTTACCAAGTGCCGATTCGCCATTGGCCTATAAACGCAAAGATGTATTTTAAATAGATGTATACAAAAATAATAGCAACATTAATAATTGATAATACTAATAGGTAAGTAGTTTACTATTAATAATGATAGTAGATAATTAATAATAACAATATTAGTAATAATATTATAGATAAACAAATATACTCACATTGTTGTTAGTATTTTTATAGGATATAAATAAATAAAAAAAAGTTGCAGAACTAGTCTACGGTACTTACTATGAAAACATATCTCATAGAAAGGTAAGAAATAGTTTAGTAGGCATGAGATTTCACGTAGAGAGAAGTATTTGCAGCTTTGCTAACAACGCTGCCAGCAACATATTTGCCTTGGCTCGCTAAACCATTTGCCTAAACAAGCACATAGTGAACACACATGCAAAGAATAAGTAATAAAAAAAAAAGATAGAGACTAAATAAAATAATAAATAAATTTAAGCAAACTGAGCAATGTATAAAGGACAGAGAATAAACTTTAAAACAATGAAGTATGCACAGTTATGAAACAGAAGAAAACATTCAGTATTATATACAAATAAAAGTAAAAGCTTTTAAGTGTAAAAGATGAAATACTGAGAGAATAATGGAATTTTTAACAGATAAAAAGAGAAATACATATAGATAAAAAAAACTATAATCCAAACACCAGTAAATAATTACTATACATAAAGATAAAAAGAAATTTTACAATTAGTAAAATTTTATATGCAAATTATTTACAAGGAACAAACTTAGTAGACTTGAAATAAAACAAAAATTAGTTAGAACAATTTTAAGGAGAATAAGAAAAATCTATTCTATATACATATCACAGAACATGTTAAGACTGAAAAAGATGTTTAAAAATAAAATACAATGAAGAAAATCTAAAACAGGAGAAAGCCTAATAAAAGCCTAAGAATAGCCTCAAAGTTACCTTAGCCCTCTTAAGAAGTTCTTCCTGGCCAGCAGCAACTTGTTCCTTCTTGCCTCCCCATGCACGCAGAACGGAGGCTTGAAGAGCACGACCGTAGCTGAAGGTCAATGCCCAAGGTTTGTTTGCAGGGAACTTGTTGATGGCATCCAAGTTCACCGATGCCTCTTCTTCAGACTGACCGCCGCTGAGGAACGTGATTCCAGGCACTGCAGGTGGCACAGTGCGCAACAAAGCGGTCACAGTAGCAGCTGCAATCTCCTGTGGAGTTGCTTTCTTAGGACAACTCTGTCCTGGTGTTACCATGTTCGGTTTAAGAAGAGTTCCCTCTAGGTAGACATGATGATCAGCCAATGCCTGAAAATTGAAGCATGATAAAATTCCAATTTCCAAAAATAGAGACAAAGAAATGGATCTGAAGTTAAATGATTAGATATAAAAAAATGTCATAAAGCAGTATTTAACTAATATTATTGATGTTAGTATTTAATGGAGGTATTTAATTTAAGTAATACATTGCAAAGCGAAAATTTTAAAGTTAGTTCGACCTCAGCACAGTAGTACTGTTTTACAAAAAACAGAAGATCACGCTAGATTGAAAACTTCGAAATTGTTTTCAAGAAATAAATTCATCTATAAATTGCATCTTACACAACAAATGCCGCAACATAAATGATTTCTGACTAACTATTCAATCTTGCTTTTTGACATTTATCTCCATTCCAAATGAAATATTTACAATTCATTATATAAACGTAGCAAGTAATGAATATTTTTGTCCGAAGCAAATCAAATTCACATGCAAATTTCTTTTACCTTGTATACAGCGGACAGAACTTCTTCCGTGACCTGCTGGCAACGGGCAAGGTCATGATCACCGTCAGGCAAGATTTCAGGTTCGACAATCGGCACAATTCTAGCACTCTGGCAAATAGAAGCGTAACGTGCAAGGACGTTAGCGTTTTCCAGAATGGCTAACTTGCTCGGAGTATCCTTCTTGATCTTCAACACGCACCTCCACTTGGCAAATTGGCATCCATCTTTCTTATACTGGACGCAACGAGCCTGGAGATCGTCGAGCCCCTGGGTGGTACATTCATCTTCGGTTCCAAACAATGGTACAACACCTTTGTCGACCTTGATACCTGGAAGGATGCCACGTTGTTTCAGTAGCTCAACAAATGGTGTCCCATCGTCGGCCTTCTGATACAAAGTTTCGTGGAACAGGATAACTCCAGAAATGTGCTGGCCAATATTCTCCTGCAAATGGAACAAAGTAGATTGTTAGATGAAAAAACTGAATGATATTGTTAAATAATGATCTATATATCTTCCAACTGAGGTACACATTAACAGCAGGACAACTAATCGTGGAAACCAATTTGAAAATAATATTTAATATTTAATAATATATAAACATGTTACAAACAATTATAATATTTAAACATGATTTACGACACGTCTTCAAACTATTTTATGTCTACAAAATCTACAATCTCAAATACAATATTAGATTTCCTATGATTCACAGTATTCATTTGATTTGAATACAAACTTCAGAAAGGGAAATATTTAAGATGGAAGAAACGTTTGTAAGTATTAAGATTGTTGAAAACTGCAAAAATTGTTCATAGATTATTGAATATAATTACTCTGCCATTTGAGTTACTAGACTTTCATCCTTGAATGCACAACTACATGTGAGAAAATTGGACAAAATTAAAAGGAACAGAAAAAAGAATTGTAGATATCTTCCATTTCTAAGTCTTTGATTGTCAATAGACTCATAAGAAGCTGAATATTCAAATATTGAGCACTACCAGCACTTGGACAAAGATAAATAAATAAATTATTAAAGAGGAATGTTACCTTAGCACTGGTGAAAAGAAGTTGTCTGTAAGCTCTGCGGTTGTCCTCGGTGTTCTCAACATTGATGTCCTTAAGACGCTTGCCGATCGTTGTGGTCGATTCATCTGCAGCGAGGATACCCTTTCCTGGTGCCACGATTTGTTGAGCGATGCTCTTCAATTCTTGTTTCAGCTCAGGTTCGAGCTTGTCATACTTATCCGCAACCATTTTCTGTGAATTACGTTCTATGTTAAGAAACGAAACATTAAAGCATATTGAACGAAGAAGTATTCGGAAAGCGCCACCAAAGAAACATAATTCTTCCTGCGAGTAAAGATTAAAAGATAAAAAGTTTTGATTAATGAGGCAGGATAATGAGTTATAAGACCTTCATCCTATTCAGAATATAATTAATCGTTCGGTAAATTGTCGCAAGGTGATTAATGGAGCGGTCGACAATCTCTTTAAATGTAATTATAATTCAGACTAAGTAATAACGTTTTATTGGATCCAATAACGATTTTAGTATCCATACATTCATTTGTAGAAAGCCATAGTTAAGTCCCCGATTGAAATCGTCGTATTATAATAGCAGCACTAGACAATAGGAAATACTCAGATCTCAATATTATTGTTAGCTTATTGATAGAAGATAAAGCATTTAGCAAATTTACCAATGTAAAATCGCATAGTTTAATCAACAAGTTAATAACAAAACTAAGAATGAATTTAAAAATTCCATTGAGATTTGAAATTAAGTTTTATGATTCATATTCTCCCGTAGATAACAAAAGCGTGTAGTGATTAATTTTACACCAACTTTTATCAAAATGGTTTTCTGTTTTAGGATTGCAAAGAAGTTACAAGATTACTAAGAGGTCACGATACATTCGATATATAAATTTCACAAGATGGCAATATGGAAGGAGAAATGGCTGGAAAATATTGAAAAATACCGCGCAACATCTTTAGTCCGTAATCCTACTGCAAAGGTGTGTTATTTATTGTATTCGCGTGGGTAGCTGGGAGAATTTCAAGTGCAAAGACCCATCTTAGAGAGCTTTCATCTCTTTTAAAGCGAGCCTTTCGATGCGTCGTAGGCATTGTGCACATGAAATATCAAATGTCCACTAAGGCTTCCGCGGCGTAATTGAATTTCACAGTGTCCCATCAACGTCAATATTTCATAAAAAGAAAATGTTAGTTTGACCCATTTCTGCGCCTTCATTTGTTCCACCACTTTGACATCGAGCTAATAGATGGCTATATTCGTAACTAATGCGACGCGACGAGGGTCGTCGATGTACCATACATCATTTATAGTTATATTAAGGAACCCATGGTACCATAACACCGTCGTTGGTTATTGGGTTTAAGCTTACAAACTTTGTAATTGTTGATAAATAATTCTCTGTTCTACCGTAGCTGAAGGGATAATCCAGACTCTGGTTACTCCACATCCCAAACCAAATGAGTAGAATAACGATGAATAAGGGATATAAGAGCCTACGTTATCACGTCGCATCATGGAATCGTTACTCTGATTAATAACGAAGGAAGCGAGGAAAATGAAAATAAAAGAATAACAGTCCCATCGACACGAATTCCGAATCGTGATTAAAGTTCCAAAGAATCGTAAGTACCGCGCTTTGGCTTGTACGATTGGGCTACTAATTGCTTTCGTTGCAATTACGTGAAATTTGTAGCTCGTTAACGCGAGTGCGGCACTCGAGAGTTACGCGAACACCTTTGACAAGCGGGTAAACATTTTTAAAGAGGTCTGTTCTTCGGAACGAGATTGACTCGCAAACCTTTGCAAACCTGTGCTTATAACGTCCTCCATGTTGTTCTTAATTAGAGACCTCTAAAATGGCGCATATGCGACGCAAGGTACATGGATTACTGTGATTACCGTTCGCACGAATATTTCACGAACAGCAATTTCAAATTAGGAGATAATGCAAGAAGGAATAAAGAAGAATGAAGAAACAATTTAGTCAATGAATAAACTATTTCAACTACCTCCATCAGACACTGTAACTCACTTAACAGCACCTCAGCCCAATCACGAGCCTTCGCAAACGTGAATCAATAATCTCTTATCTAAGGCTAATTCGAAAGCCACCGAAAAACTTTTCCAATCACCGACGGACCTTAATCGACCTATCCAATACTCTGGCGCAATAACGACGAAGAACACCCTATGCACCGTGTCTTCATCTTCGTCTAACTCTCGAGATGCACCAACAACGGTACGAAGAATCATTTATCTTACTGGAACGTAACTTGCAATATGTTGAACATTAATCTTTATCCAGGAAGATGCTGTCTAAGGAATAAATTCGCGGGGACAGGCGAATGGAGAAGTTGCGAGGATTGTTGCAAGCAACGGACACATAGGTGCTCGTCGATAAATGGAGCTCGCCAGAAGTAAGCTTCTTGATAAGTTTGCGACTTTATGGGAGGACCCGACTGGCAGCTCGAGCTTTCGCGTAAAAGGCTTATGCGTGATACATGTTCCAACGATATGGAATCGTTGCTGCAACCTCGAGTCTTATTTTGAAAATCATTGCAGACTAAATCGTTATCGACCAAAGGATGAAAAGTGTGACCAGCTTTCTTTACTCGTCGCAATGGTCGTTTCGTGAACGATTCCACCGTTAATTGTCGCGATTGTGGAAACCGTGAAAGAACGGATAACAGATTCATCGTGGCCTATTGTTGAACTGCTACCGAAATAGAGGATAAACTGGGAAGAGCGCTGAAACGGAAGAGGTTTTTCATAAGTCAGGATGCAACATCTTCGAGCTGCCTTTTTGAAACTGAAAGAAAGTAATTATTGAACAGCAGCTTCAAAAATAATGGCCATCGAATAGAATTTTTATAGTCGATAGTCATGATCGTCTTGGAACTATAATACGGGTTGAAGGTCTTTGTGAGAATAATGCGAAACGTTCGGACGATATTTGATTAGCTTTATTAAGTCGATCAAAGTGATATATCAAAATTAAGACAACATGACAGCGTGACAGCAGATGGAGCTGGGAATAAAAGGATTAAAAGTTACGTAAGGAGATAAGCCGAAGATCTCTGCAAGTGTATCTTACATGGAATTATCATAAATTGATTTTTCACGACCTCAGGCAGACGGTATCAGATATGCCTGATCTTATATGTATCACGGAGGAAGCTCGAAAATATTCCACTACTAATAAGTCTATGGAAATTTTGGGAATCTTAGTGTCGTCATAGTTATCAGTATACATAATTTCACGCTTTACTCTGGGATTAAAAAAATTCCATAGTAGGCAAAGTAGGAATAATTCACCGATGTAATATACATTCTTACATCATCTATGCACAAATGAATTAATAAATAATAAAAGGGTCTACTTATCTTAATGTCAAAAAATTTTCACAGGGAGCAAAGTAAGAATAATTTAACATAGTAATATATAATTATTATTCCTATATAGGATCAAAATGATATTTCATTAACTAAATAATATTTTGCAGGGTCGTGAAACTTAAAATCCCATCAAAGGTAGCAAAGTGTAGAGAAGAATGGATCGATGAGGAATTTAAGAATTTGCAAAGATGATAAATCAATGACGTCTCATCTCAGGCAATACTCTTATTGTGATTAAAGCAACTCAAGCTTAACGATGACCATAGACAAGATGGAATATCTGTACCACGTTCAATCCATAACTCCTACGTTTGGAACAAAAGTGAGTGCCATCAGAGAGAAAGAAATCGTTTGAAGTATATACAACCACTCGAAGCATGCAGCCTCGTTTTATTCACGCTTAATGACACGAAACAGAAACCGGCTGTTTCATCCTGTGAGCCAAACGATAAAGATAGAAACTGGGAGTCGGTCTTGTTTAGCAAGACCATTAGCAAGGCCATACATTTTCCAACTTGCGAACCACCCAAAAATCCTGTCTTTCCGTTCCAATCTGAAACGGAATCTCCCTTTTCTTTCAACACGTAGGTACACACGCCCTGAGCGAATTGTAAAGCAAATGATGGAGACGCGAGTTACAAGATCGATAAAATGGCCACAATGAAAGTCTCCATTCAACAAGCCGCTGTAAACAAGCGTCACGATGTGGGTATACAAAGCTTGTAAAATATAACGATATCGAAATTTCGATTAACGAGAAACACGGCACAATCATCGACACGGCTTATCGATTTTCCATTTTTCGCGCGATCCTGCAACAAAGTGGATACATATCATTCAGACATATCGCAATCAATACTACGATGACAGGAAACAGAGAAGAAACCATCATTAAGAGACTTAGCGAGGACAAGGAACAAAATGGAATAAAACTGGAATGGGATAAAAATAGTTGGATCTAAGCGCTATTTCGAGACGGATATCTAGTTGAAGACCTTTAAACGACATTTCTGTAGCCGGTCGCGCAAGGAAATCAGGTCTTTCTTTCTGAAGGAAGGGACCCGGGTTGCGCTCGGTCAATTGGTTTTCTAAAAGCCCGCGCTGTGTGCTTCTCAGAGGAGAGTGAAAAAATGCGAGAGAAAAAGGAGAGAGACACGAGCGAGGGATCGCGCGAGTAGGGAAATTAAAATCGATAAAACGGTACACAACGGTCAGCACCGAGCTCTGCCTTGCAACCCTAGCCTTTTCCGTGCGTCTTCGTCTCGAAAGAGAAACCCAGCCCCCGTGGCTATAAAGCAACGTCACGTACCTCGTTCTCCTGATACAATAACGCCAATAACGACTCTCTCTCGTGTCACGCCGCTGGTAATTGCAACGATAATGAGTCACTAAATTGACACGGCATCAATGGTGTTTTAACGTGTCGCACATGAATATCGCGAATCACTGATAACAACGCAATGATCTCACATTTTCGCGACATACGTTCTTTCGTGTGTCGATAACTACACGAGAAAAGGCAGTTCGAGATGTGTTGCGTTGAATCCGGCCAGCTGATAAGAACTAGACGTAAATTGATAATCTTAATCTAGTAATCTTGAAATAATCTTAATTGAAGTAATCTTTTTCGTCAATACGATCTCTTGATAGAATAGAGGCTAAAAGGTTGTTCTAGGGAAGATTGATATTATTTGTTTCGTTGCTTAAGCAGAAGAGAAGGTGGGGCAAGGACACACTACTATCTACGCTAGGATTCGTGGTTCCGTGAACTCTACACGATCTCGTTTAATCTCTTACCTGTTCAACCACTAAGCACAGTTCCGGTCCAGATCCGATTCAGATCGTAAAATAAACCGGCGAATCTCGCGACACTCGTTTATTACGGGCACACGTATATACAGGGATAATAAATGCAATATAAGGACGATAATAATGATGATGATAAGAATAACAATAATAATAATGAGAATAATAATAAAGACAATAAATACATTCCCTTTCGGTGTTAGTCAGTTCGCTATATATCGGTTCGATACGAATTTACGATTTACTCTCGCTCTTTCCCGTGTGTGTCCCGTGCGTGTATATGTGTGAACGCGTGTATGTACGTGTACGTCTGTACGTGTGTGTCTCCTCTCTTTTCTCCTTCGATTTTTACGAGCCTTCTGCTAGTCGTTACACCTTAATACGACCGAACGATACCGATACGAAAGATAAATAGGTAAAAGTGACCGATAAGACAGAAATATAAACCGATCGCTGCGACATAACGTTCTCGGCTGACAGAACGTCGCTGTCCCGGCGGGCCCCCAGCCGAGAGGACCCAGTTCGCCTTTTCGACTACATCTTTGCGGCTTGTCGGAGAGAAAACGTTGGCGGGTGCGTGTCTCGTCCGAGCACGAGACGACGACTGGCTTTATCCGGCTAGTTCGCCCCGTCCAAGAGGCGGCAGGGGTACCTGGCTGCAGTGCAGTGTCGTAACTGCAAAACAGGGGGGTAGTTGCTACACTCTCCATCTCGCTCTCACCTACCCTGTCCCTGCGCTTCCACCTCTTCCATCCTCCTCGCACCGATTCTCTTCCTTCAACCTTGCGCATTACCCTGTCTCTCCCGCTCTCGCCCACGTTCTCGCGTTCTCACTCCCGTCCCATCTCTCTCTCTCTCTCTCTGCCAGTCTCTACCCTTTCCGGCGAACCACCCTTTATTCGTAACGTCTCGCTTGTGCTAGTCCCCTGTCCTCTTCCTGCTCTCCATCCGTCCGTGCTCTCCCTCCTTCTCTCCATCTCCCTCTCTCCATCCTCTCCACCTCGCCGTGCTTCTCCACGGTAACACCCCACCCCGTTCAACCCCTGACTCGATCGCTGTCTCGCTTCCAGCCACCCTTCAGCCGCCCCTGTCCTTATCCGCTCCACGGCCTGCCGCCCATACAGCACGAACGAGGGAATGGGCTAGCCGCAATGCAGCACGCGCAGACGTTCTCGAGGCTACGCCTGTATTATCCCCCTGCGCACCCTGAATCCGTGACCTGAGACATCAGCATCGGCACACGAGATACGCGGGACCTGTGCTCTCTCGCGCCCTCCGCGCCATTCGGGTAGACGGTCCTTTGGCCTCCAAAGGATACGACGCGATGCAGCTAGCTAGGGGAATAGCGGGTGGGAAAATGCAGGATCGTGCATTCGCAGGATCCAAAATGGATATACCCGGGACTGGTTATCGCTGTCGGATCTTTTTCGACGCGGAATTCACCATCGCGGGAGGAGATCGTGCTCCGATGGGATCGTAGCGATAGAAACGGATAAAAGGATGAAAGGGCTAACTCGGGTTTCTAACAGGCGCTGCTGGTTGAATAATCGACGATTCGCTTCGACGTTAACCCTCGTCATTTACAATTTCGAGCAATCCCCGGCCACAGACGCGATTACGTCGAAGCCTACGCGAGAACGATCGGAGGATCGATCATGGGAATTCGCGAGTCACCATCGGGTTTCGATTAATTCGTCGATGAGACGAGCAACAACGGCTGGCCGAGATTAACCGGGAAGATAGAGGTTTAACGAAATTGATAGAGACGCGATTCTATGAATAATCCACGGAGTGTTCGCGTGGACGAGGGATCGTTTAGGCAACTCGTTAGCCAAATGAAGGTACCGGCAGCAGGAAACTCTGACGGAAGTTGTAGCGAGTTGGAAAGTTATGTGGACGATGTTACAGCTGTTTGGCGAGTGTTCGCCGAGGAACCGCCTTGGCCACGCTAATATCGTAATCAAGGCGACTTTTAAAAGCGGAGGTTAACTCTCGTGATTGAGATCGTAAACGGAGGCATGCCGGGTAATCGCGAGCTAAATCGGGGAACTCGTAGCTATCGGAATTCCCGATCTGGCGGGAAGAACGCGAACAATTGGCGTGACAAAACGCTTTCGAGCATCAAGCACGTTTCTCACCACCTGCTTTTCTTCTTGTCCCTAGCTCGGAGCGGTTGCTGAACGGGCAACGTGGGAAAAAAGTCGTTTCTTATTTGGAAAAGCATTTACGACCTACCCAGGCGGCATGAGAGGAAGCCCTGAAGAATGCATGGAAATGAAAGTCACGCTCCGGAAGAAATACGACGGCGAGGCGTGTAGGTGAAAGCTTTTTGGCCGCATAAATGATAAAGAAGCCGCTCGGCACCGGTGCTTGAGGAGACCTGAAAATTTCACACAGCCGGAAGCGAGCTTCTCGACCCGCTAGTCGACGCCTAGATAGCCACGTAAGTAAGTAGATCCTACGTCGTCGGAATTTATCGAATCAGAGGATCACCGTTTCCAGCCTTTTCTTCCATCTACCCCCTATACCCTAAATACATCTCCTCTGTATCTTTTAGCGTTGCTCGAGATGCAGCTGCACAGCTATACAAACGAACGAGAGCAGCCAGATATTGGTTCACATCGCGCAACAGCCGGATCTGAACCAGAAGCCAGTGTTTTCTTCACTCCTCCAAGGAATAATCGCGATAATTATGTTACTCGAATATGTTCATCGAATTCCTACTGATAGAAACGTCGATGAGATTCTTGCTCGGGTAAACTGTGATTAGTCGGGAATTTCCGTGACGAATGAAATTTCCTACATTTTCGCGTGCACGTAACAAGGGTATATTTGCAAATTTATCTCGCTCCTTTAGGTTTGTTCGCGTAAATTTGCGACGTGACTGTCGCCGCGACTGCGAAGCAGTGCAGGGTGTTTGCTCGGTGGGGTTGGTTCGTTATCCTTCGTCCGTGGTTTCGCTCGTATTTAAAATAATCATCGTAAATTAATATCACGGTTAATGCCATCCCGACGTTTAGTAGAGAATATGAATATGCAACGGGGCGATTTGAACGGCTGCGATATTTTCAAGACACGTGACGACCACGCAATTCATGCTTAAAGTGTATCTCATTACCTCACACTTGGCATAAGTCTCGGCTATTAACGCGATTGTTCTCGAAATTCCCGTAGGCAACGAATAAAACGCGATATTCCCTGTTTTATCGTATACGATCAACGCGAGATAAAAAAGAAAAGGTGTTTTGGTATATTTATTTAGAAACGTTCGCCGAGATTCCGATGGAATTTTCAGGCACCCCTTTCCGAGCACGTCTCGCGCGGCAATTTTTAAGCGAAATGCTTCCGCGTTATACGAATGAAAATTTAAGTCTTTATGAGGAATTCTCTCATCGACGGAACGAAAGCATCCGATTAACGCATTCGTCTTTGGATTACTCGAATTACTCGCGACGCGATACGTCAAGGATCTTTATGTCGCGGCCCTGGTGGCCACCGAAAATAACATCGAAATTGGATCAACGCTGAAAAACAATTCGAATGATCTTTCGAATCCAGGCTGTAGGATTATTAAATAAATCTCTGCGTTCGATATTTTTACACGCTTCTCGTGGCAAGCTTCGGGAAAGGCAGATGCGATAAGGGAAAAAATTTTCAATTATTGATTCATCGTAGTTACAGTGTTTCATCAAATTTTCACAAATATATCCGGAGGAAAGAAAGGACGAGTCGAACTATTCATAGTGCACTTAGTAATTCGCGTTATTAACATTATCAACGCTGACATTATCAACATTGAAGATTCTCGGAATGTGATGTTTAATTAATTCTGGTATTAATAGATAGCGGTGACGCCTATGGCGACTCTTATGACAAATTTACTCCTGGTCGCTAGTGACTCCACACCTCATAGTCAACGTGTTGATCGAGAATATCTTATTTTTACCTAAGATCCTAAATTATAATAGTTATTCACGGTATGGATGATAAAAGATCAAGTAAGTTTAACGTTGCTAGTCATTTTATGTAAAACCATCTTTCTTATAACGCGATGTACATGAATAATACCTAATATAAATTCTACGTGTCATAGATTTGATAAAAAGAACGTGAAATGAACGTAGAAGATGTTTCGACGATTTAAGGCGACTTTCCAATCAAAACGTGATTTTAACCCTTTATACGAGAGAGTATTTTGGTCTGTTTACTGGTAAGTTAATTTTTTATCTTACGAAAGATAATTGCAGATAAACTGATGGAATTTTTTTTAAACAGGGAAATATCAGCAACACAGATAACTATGATAAGAAGGATAAACCTATTGTTCTTTATAATATACACGATATTCTACCTAATAATTCAAAGTATTATGCAATTATTAAGAACAACAGAAAATAACAAGGAAATAGAGAAGGTAAATATATAAAATAAGGGTTGATGAATATTTCTGATTAAAATTATTAATTAAAATAATAAATAGATATTACGATATTCGTTCACGAAAGGTGCAAATTTTATCACGTTCTATGGGAAACATTTTTCCAGTGTTTACGATATTTATGCGTTATAATAGTTCGTCGATAACAGAATTTTCGCAATCGCATGTAAATACCGTGTCTCGTGTTATCGCTGCACATTGTGATAAGGCTGTTTACGAAGGAGAAATGAAATGACGAAGTTTGTCTGAAACATTCAATCTTGTTTCCCGATGAAAAGTGCCCCTCGTGTACCACTATTGTGTTATCAATTACAATTCATTGACCCGTGTCTTGCCGTCTAAGCTATCTTGGTTATCTTGTACCGTACCACCAATATAGTCTCGATTTCGTAAAACCTAAAGTACGTCCCTTAACCCTTTGAACTCCCTTGTCGGGTATAACTCAACTCCAATTTCATTCTCAGATAACTAGAAATTCCACAAATATCATGGCATATCTAAAGTTCGTTGTTAATTCGAAAATTTGATTAAACTGTATCTTATCAACCGACTATCTCTTGACGTACTTCTCAAGTAGAACATTTCAAATAAAAGGGAATTATGGAGAAAAAAGACTGAGAACAAAGGGTTAATTTGCTTCGCAGATCGATGACGCGTAGTACGACTCGTGTGCAACACTTGGAGGTGTATTCTTGCGTCTAAAATAA